GTCAAACAATTCTTTCTTCTTCCAGTCAGCACTGAAGCCTGTGCTGCTCCAGAACTCACTGGAACACATGGAAAGCTTAGGGTGTACTTCCCTAAGTTCTTTAAGGATGTGTTTAGCTATTTTATTTAAACTCTAGGAGCTAATAATGATAGCTAGCAATTCCAAGGAAGCGTGTTTTGCAGTGCTATTTATTTCTTACCTGCTTTCTGTGGTTGTAGCAAAGGCCAGGATCCTGAAATCTGGATCCCAATGCTGCCTTTTTTGTAAGGCTTGGACTCACTGTACCCAGTGGCAGAGGACTGCAGGAATATTGCCAAGCTGGGACCATCAGCCCTTTGGCTGTTTAGTGCTTTTTCACAATTAATTCCAGTCTTAGGTGAATCCACAGGTGTTCTGTCTGAAAAGGTCATCCTGGCTTAGTCATTCCTTTTAAGTAACTAAGATTAAGTAAGATGAATCGTGGTGAGAATGAGTCATCACATGATTTAGAATGAAATTAGCATTATTGGCCACCAGGACAAAATATATCAGAGTGTAGTAGAATCACTCATTAAATAGACAATATTTTACCCAAGAGGTCTGGATATAGTAGTGTTCAATATTTTCTTGTACTTGCATGGATGTTACTTTTGTATTATTTTATATATTTGTTGTTTTGTATTATTTTATATATTTGCATCATGCAGTAGGTGATCAATATGGTGCCTGAGAAGTAGATCCTCATAGCTTTAAGATTTGCTCCTGCTTACTTTGAAAATTCTGTGAATGCTGCAGGATTTACTCTGTAAAAGCTGGCCAAAGTCATATTTGTTTGGGATTTTAGTTCCACTTGTCTGGCATTAGAAAATGAGATGCAGTTACCAGTACTTTAATTTTACAGAGCTGATGAGTGGTCACAGCTCCTCTTAGAAGTCAGCAGAACTTGTAACTGCTTGCACTTCTGGTAATTGGGTTCTGGCACAATGTGTTTCAAAATGAGACATTCAGAAGCTAGAGCACTTAAAATCAGTAGTTGTTTTGCAGCTTTGATCTCTTCCTCATGTGTAAAACTCATTCTGTTATATGGAAATAAACCGAGGATATAAACTTCTGAAAAGAGGACTCTGAGCTCTGCTGCACACCATTTATTTTCCTATTACTCTTTGGATATTGTTTATTTGACATGTTGTATATCTCCTTGCCTCCCCTTCCTTTTTATTTTAATTGGGTCCTGGTTATTGGCTGGAAATTCCACTAACATGACTCATCCCTGCACTGGAAATGGCTGTGAACAGGCACCACACTGTGGGATTTACTTCCCCCCCCTCCTTTTTCTTTTTTTCCTCTTCTAAGTGCTTTATCGTGGCACGAGCTTGTAATAATAAACTAGGAAGGAAGTTGGAGCTAATCATTTGTTTCTGAATGCACAGGCCCTGCCAAATTTCCCCACAGGCATGAAACAGCCGCTCAAGCTGTGACACCAGCAAATTAAATCCTGGAGGTAGCTGACCAGAAGTAATGAAATGTGTATTTACCATACTGATGCTGTCAGTCTTAAGACACACTGGCTTTACAGTCTAGTTAAGTGGGGCACGTTTGTCACTTGCAGTTGTGCTTAGAGAAAATACTCAGCTTTTTTCCTTAGAAATCTTTTCAAAATCACAAGCCCAGTGCTGGCTGGTAACCCTGACCTTGTACAGCTTGGAGGAAGGATGGCCAGAATGGTCTGTACTTTTTAAAATATATTCCAAAGGAGATAACATATTCCATATTCCAAAGGAGATAAATTATTTCATCTCATGTCATGTTAATTGCCAATTCTTTTTATTGATCTCTGATCTGCCACTCCAGTCTTAGAAATTAAAGGCCAAAAGTTACTTCAAGAGCCAGTGGCTAATAAGGAGCAGATGTCTCCCCCATGCCATGTGTCCCCTGCATGCAGCAGTTGGAAAGCACACAGAGGGACACACAATCACTGCAAAGGGGCCACTCCAGCGAGGGATGCATCCTCCAGTGATGGGCTGGATGGGGCACAGGGCTGCTAAGGAGATAGCCCTCAAAAAAATGCATCATGGCAGCAGAGCTTCCAAAATACCTAAACGTGGATGAGGGAAGCTATCATTTCATAATCCCCACGTGCTTAAGGTGATGGAGCACTCCAAAAAAAGCTATTTACCCTGGGCAGGTGTCATAGGTAACAATTGGAAATGTCTGAGAGTTTTATTTAGCTGGCAGAAGCATTCTATGCTGATTGTGTGGGAATAGTTGAAGAGGGCTTCAAGAGAAGAGACCTATTTGCTGAATGGTGCTGCTGTGGATTCAGGAAAACATTGAGGGAGGAAAAAATAAAAGCATGGTCTTCATCATGGTTAGTACAATACCCATGGAAGAATCAAAGAGTAAAATCACAACCCACACAAGCATTGCCTGATATCTAATTATATCCTAGGAATGTCCATGACTCTGCAATTATATGCTTAATTTCCAGCTGTACTTGATTAGCATAGCAATTGATTTATAGCATCCAGCTACAAGGAACTTGCTTTGAACTGTTTGTTGGCACATATAAATTCATTTGGCACTTTGGGCTGGTTCTTTGTAGCCAGGTAGGCACGTGGAGTTGGAGCTGTGGAATTCAGTGCCAAGGCCAAGGGAAGGCCAGAATAATTTCAGAGACCACACCATTCTTTTTCCTCTAATAAAGCATTCAAATGCAAGTCTGTGGAAGGTCAAAACCCACAGATTTCTGTGGAATTGCACATGAACTGCAAGCTCAGTGTGTAGAAATAACCTTGCTGAGTCCTTGCTTGGCCTTGGAAGACAACCATGGCTTCTGTGATAGAATAGTGCATCTGCTTCTGGAAAGCCAGGGCATCTGTGCTTTCATTCTCCTGTCTTCCCACACCAGGAGGGGTGAAGTAGGATTGATTCCAAATTTTCTTAGTGAAAAGAAAGTAGGGAGGAAAAAGGATAAAAGAACCCTACTTGGTTTTGAGCAGATCTAAGCATAATCCCCAGTTAAATATTTGAGTCTGTGTGAATCCAAATGCTAGACTGGGATTTAAGGCAAAATGCAACCACTTGAAATGTAGAATTTTGATCTACTCAGGGGTAAGCCTGTTGAATTCAGCTCAGGCTGGGGAAAACACATGGAAGCTTTTTTGTAGCTGTAGTTTTACATTATAAACCTTTTGGAGCAATTTCTTTGCCATCTGTGAAAAATTACCCAGACTTCCATACCAAAATATTCTCCCACTGCTAACATTGACAGATACAATTTTAACAACTTAAAAGTAATTTTTTTTAAAGGCTAGCTAAAGCAAGCCTCAAGTCAGCAGCTGAAGTTGCATTGCCTCTGTTTTTAATCTCAGGCTTGGAGCTGTCTAGACAGGTTATCCTCTTTGGGTTGCACTGATTATGTGCTTTGTGCCTCTTGCATCAGATGGGAGGGTTTGCTCAGGGGCTCAGTCTCAAGCCTGTGGCTTTGCCCTCTGGGTGATACAACCTTAGGTACACTGTAAATGTCAAAGCCCAATGATAATACCATCAATACATGGAAAGACAAACTGCTGCTGATTTAAATCTTGCACTCCTAGAACCAATTATTTATTCTTTGCAGGTTTACTTCTGTTATTATTGTTGTTGTGAATTTTTTTCTTTCTTTTTTTTTTTTTTTTTGAGGTGTTTCTTTGAATGCCAGGAGTTGGCAACACCAGATGTGTGAATTTCAAGTAGGGATCCTGGTTCTCGCAGCATGAATCCCAGAAATCTTGTTTTCACGGAAGAACAAGCACTAAACAAAACCACAAGAAAATAAGAGGCAGTTAGGCTGCTAGAATTAATCTCTGAAGGAGGTCTCTGGCTTTCTCTGGTACAGGAACAACTTGATCAAAGAAGTTGCAAACTAGTCTTGCTTTTCTGCCTTTCCCTGAGAGCTCTCAGCCTGTGAAACACGAAGGAAAAAATACTGTGGAGTTAAGAACTGAAAATACCAGATATTACAGTTTTCATGGGGGGTAAAATAATTATAAACTGTGGTGTGGTCTAGTAAACAAAAAGGCAACTCTTAAAGTAAGCTTGAACTTTTCATTAATTAGCATGAATCTGTTTTGAAATTCCTGTAGAGAACAAGTGCTTCTCCTGACAGCTGGTTTGAAATTAATAAAAAGGAAAGTGTTTTCAGCTGGCAGTGGCTTAACACACTCATGATAGATGAAAACAAGGTTAAATTGCTCCTTTCTCTCTACCACTAATAAATGAAATATTGAAAATTAAATGCTGTAGCTTAGGAAATAAAAAGTGCTAGGCAAAACTATCAATATAGTGGTAAGTAATGGTACTTGCTGAAATAGGCAAGTATGGTTAATACAATACACATTTGGAAAAGCTTAGGCAGTACCCAAAATTATTCTTCAGTTGTAGCCTTTAAGAATATATTGTGTTGAGGAATATATTATCCTGTTTCTGCAAGATAAAAGAGTCTTGATTTAATCACCTCATTTTGGGGATTCAAATGACATTGAGGCTTTTTTGGAAATCCTCTTGCCCTGATACCCTTTCCAATCTCATCCTCCTTCTGCTCTACTTCACCTTTCCTCATGAAAGGATGACAGAGGCTTTATTCCTCAGGGGGTAAGGAGTGGAGTATGTGGAGTATCAGAAAACACACAGCAGGGTCCATCCTCTGCTGCAGAGAGCCTGATCTCTGAAAATCAGATACCTGTGGGCTCTGGCTGACAGTGAATTGCAGCCTGAAATAATTGCTCTTGATTGATGTTAACTCTCCAGTAGAATACAAGACATAACTTTATTGCAAATATGAGGATCTTATGGATAACAAGGGAAATAGGTGAAAAGTAAAATACTAGATTTTACCTCAACAAAGTCTTTATTCCTGTCTTGTAGAGTGCAGAACCCTTCCAAGTTTTGGAATTATGAGTATCTTGTGAATAACAAGGGAAATAGGTGAAAATCAAAATACTAGATTTTACCTCAACAAAGTCTTTATTCTTGCCTTGCAGAGTGCAGAGCCTTTCCAAGTCGCTGTCAGAGAGGACAATTGTATCATTGTGTCCCTGGAGGCATCGGACGTGGTGAGCTCATCCTCTGTCTACGTTGTGAAGATAGCTGGAGAATCCAAGAACTACTTTTTCCAGTTCGACGAGTTCAATAGCACTTTACCTGCCCCTGTGGTTTTTAATGCCAAATACCATGGCCTGTATTACATAGTGACTCTCTTGGTGGTCAACTCAAATATGGTTTCCAAGTCAGCGAGATCAATCACTGTGCTAACCAGTAAGTGACATCTAATTCTTTTCTTCTCTTTCATGTCTGTGTGTGTGGCTTTTTATTTCCCTCCATGAGTTCTTCTTGTGAAGAAGGTTGGGTTGGATTTTTTCAATGGGTCCTGGTTTTGTGTAGGATGCAATCCTGTGTGAGAGCAGTAGGGAAGAAGTTTTGACAGGGTGCGGGTGAAAATTCACAAGGTGTGGGCAGAAAGAAAGGAAAGACTTTAAGTTTCCCCTGGCTGGCCCTTCCTGAACACTGAGGTGTAACAGAGAGAGAACTGGGGATTTCTCTGGTTTTGCCCCAACAGAGAGACAACCACATTTGTGGCAAAGAAAGGGCAGTCCTGCAGGCAGCATTGAATGGTGCTGCACTGAGCTCCAAAAGTAGGCTGTAAATTGTGACTGAAGACTAAATTCCCTCCGTTTGGAAGGGAAACGATCCAATCTCCTCCGTGATATTTTCCATCAGGCAGGCTGATGAGTGCTGGCTCTCTTGTAGCAGCCTTTGCTCCTGAGTTCACCTTCTGGAGCACAAGGCTACAGAGCTGAAAGTAAATTTGGAATGAAAAGGCAGGGTGCTGGGATGGGATTTTTAAGGTGTTTCAATACCCTTCAGATTTTGAGAAGAGTTCTTAAAACTCCTGTTGTGACCACTGGTTTCTCCTAAAAACATGCATGAGGTGGTATTTTGTTTGTTGTTGGGCTTTTTCCCCCTGCTATCGGTATTGTCCACTGCCTGTTTTTCATAATTTATGACTATCAATTAACTTGATTTTTTTGGCAGATAATAATTAGGATAGATCTATATTTTTCTTTTTTCCCTGTGCTCTCTGACTGTTTAACATTCTTGGTTTAATTAATCATGCAAAGACATGTAACCATCTAAATTATTCCATCTATATCTTACACGTGAAAGAATGGCACATTGCAATTAGCTTCCACTACCAAATTAATTCCTGCTCTAACTCCATTGGTGTCAGGAGAGCTTTACCAGTGGCAGATTGACCCCATTCATTAGGCTGCCACAAAATAAATCAGTCAGGATAGCCGGTGATGCCAATGTGGTTATTCCCAAGGCAGTGCTCCCAAGAGTTTTTTGGGATCTCCTGGAGACTGCAAAGGAAATCCAGCTTTTCAATGTGTGCTAGAGGTCTGAGTTTCACACAGAGCTGTGTGTACCCAAAAAGTGCTCATCAAAACAAGACCAAGGTGCCTCAAAGACATAGCCTGCTTAGAAATTCAGTGAGAGTCATGAAAGACCTCTGCTTTCTGGTGGTAAATCCTGATGGCATTTCCTTACTCCTGTTCATGTCTCCCATCAATATGCTACCTCTAAGGGAATTGGCAAGAAAAGGCAAGAGAAGAACACATTTAAGAGAAGACTTTTTTTTTTATCCCTTAAAGGTTTCTGACCAGAAAAGCATTGAAAAGCTGACAGAATCTACATTGTATACATTATATATAGGCATAACTCTTCATATAAGTATATGGGCATAAATATGTACATATAAAAATACAAAATCATATCATATAAATATAGCTGTAACATAGAATCATAGTATCATTTAGGTTGGAAAAGATAATCAATATCAACCATTAACCCAACACTGTCAGGTTCACCACCAGTGAACCCCACGTGTTCGCACATGTCCCCACGTGCCACCTCCACATATTCTTTGAACACTTCCAGGGATGGCAACTCAGCCACTTCCCTGGGCAGCCTATTGCAATGCCTGATCACCTTTTCGGTGAAGTTTTTCCTCATATTCAATGTAAACCTTCAGATTTTTTCAGGCACAATTTGTCCTTAACAAAGCCATCCAGTCTGTCTTGGATCACCTCCTTACATTGCACATCAGCATGTCATCCATGCAGATATTCATGTGGATGTATAAGTTCCTTTTGAGCATTCCATTGTTCATTTGGTCCTTTTCTACAAGACTGCACACTTCTGCTTGTCTCTGATTTGGAGAATTTCAGGATTTTCTCATGTTAATCAAAGATACCATAAGCTGTAGAATTTCTTCATTTAGGCTCTGTGGTCCAGATTGTTGCAGTGAAAAGGATGAGCTATTTGAAAACGCTTAAATAAGAAACCTGTAACATTGAATTTTATCACAAAATGGCCCTTTTTGCTTCTGATTCTGTAGCAAAGTTGTGTTCAGCAAATTTGTCTCAGTGTATCTCTGAAGGAGAAAAATGGAAACCCTGACTGCTTTTTAAAGATCCTTGCAATGGTTTTGAGAAGAATAATTGTGAGAATCTCACCTTCCTGGCTGAATGCCTATAAGTGCAATTGTGCTGTGCCTGTCAAAGTCTCAAAGTCACCCCTTCCAGTCTGGGCAATGTTAAAGTGGTTCTGGTATCTCACACAGCTGTTTCAGGCTTGCTTTCCTCTGCTCTTGGAGCTTTGGCTGTTCAATAGGGATGAAGTAACTCTGGAATTTGTATAATTTATTTAGTATTTGAAATACTTGACTGAAAATTCCACTTCATTACTAATTGGTTTTAAAATAGTTTATGAAATAAATGAAGAGCACACCTGTAAAATCACTGATTGATATTCTCACTCACTCATCCTACGTTTTCCCAGCTTGAAGCCTTATTTTATTCTTCCCAGGGTGAGTCATACCCATATAGCATCTTCTTTTTTTTTCCATATGCACTGTCAGCTTTACGTTGTGAAGGAAAAAAATGTTGATACATTTGTAGGAATGGGGAAGGCAGTACATTGCAAAGCTATTGTATGCTGCAGGAAAAAATGTGTCTCTGCTGGGAATTGGAGAAATCTGGATCTGAGGAGCTCTGATAGTAATTAAGAGCAGCTCTGCCTGGTTTTTATTTTAGCTGATGATTAGGAGTTCTGAGTGGTAAAATGTCTCATTGTTTCAAAAGCTGATGGTTCCCTGCATACACGGCTGTGAAATATATTCCCTTTAGGGGGAGTTCTGCCTCTGTGTCTCCTGCAAAAATATTCTCCTGGAGAGGCCAACAGCTGCTGCTGGGACTCTGATCTCCAGCCCTCAGAGAGTAATTGGCATTACACCCAGTTAATGCTCTGCTGTCATTGTGCCAGATGCTGCAGGAAGTGATTCAGCAGGTCCAATCCTTTCCTTGGCTTGTTAATGGATCAGGATTCTTTAACTCTGGGCTTCAGAGGGTTTTTTTTCCTTAATGAAATGTGAAACTTTAGCCCTTCATGTTTTTCTTTCTTAAAGGATGATGTGAAATACCTTTAAAAAGGCTGGTTATCCGTGGCAGCCCTAACTTTGAAATGTAACTCACACCAGCATCTAGATCCATTAGGGCTCATCTTCTCTCAGCAAATAAACCATGTTATCATCTTTTTAGGGTGAAAAAACTTCTCCATCAGAATCAAAGAATCAGAAGGAACTGCAGCCTGCTGTAATTTGCATTGTAAGGAGGATCTAAACAATTGGCCTAAATCTGTTCAAGAGCAGTAGTTATGCCTTTGTTCTTGTGACAACATTATTTTTTAGGTTGTGTCATCTTTTTATTTATCACCTTATGTGGCCATGTAGAAATTGCATTATATGTCATCATTGCTCAGGTATATTTTCACTTACATTCCCCCTTCATAAGCACAATATCACTATTGCCTATCATAAACTTGAACATTGTGTTCCCAAAGTATTGAACAAGAGCGTCTTTAATCTCAAAGATGGTTTCTTTTTAACAAGAGATAAAGCATCCTAAAGTTTACAGCATAATGGAAGCTTTACCCTGGCTATGCCTTACTCCCAGTAATGGTACAGCTACATAAATAGTGTCATCCTGGGGAGAAAATTACATAATTCACAACTTCTTCCTGTAAATAAAGTGAATTACCCTTGAGGGTTTGGTCACTCCATTAATGGGACATCTTTTTTATAGAAGTCACAATATGGAGGTAAATAACAAATTATCTGGGTTCCAATGTGAGAAGCAAGATATCTCAGTCCCACATGTAATGCTGTATTCAAAGCCACCACAATAATCAATTCAGTTTGTAGAGTGACCCAATCTGCACATATTACAAACAAATTGATTTAGATTGAAATATGGTACTTATTTTCACAGCACTTCTTTTTGTCTCCCTGAATTGCAAATATTAATGTGTCTGACACAAACTGAATGCATTAATGAAGGATTTAGCATTCAGAATTTTCCAGGGCATTGGAGGAAGATGTTAGGCACATTTATTATGCTGTCTTGATGCTTGTGTAATGCAAGTTATATGCTAAATGCAAAATGCTGGAAAGTCCAGGATAAACAGAGAAGTTGAGTTTCCTGTAAAGAGACAAAATGGGAAAGCAGTTGCTACAGAAGCAGCAGATTTTGAGACACAATGAAAAATGGCAAATTCAGGTCTTGATGCTGCAATCTTGTCTATGTGTGTATAATATAATCTCCAAGGCTAAAAATAAAGAGATTGTAAGTGAAGAGGTACTTTAAACTATTAAAAGGGACAGTGAAATGCTCTAAATCCCTTCTTCAAGTAATATGACTTCACCATAGTAGAGGGCTTTTATAAAGCTCTAAGTATTAAATTTCTGTGATTCCACTTTATTTAGGTTATTTCTTGACAGCCATCGAAATCTGTGACAAGCTGAATCCTAAACACTGAAAATAGTAAAATTAAAAAGACCAGACTGTTTATGCTCTGAATTATAAATAGAGATAGTAAAGAGTGGCATTTTACATATTCTTTAATTTTAATAGCCCTAGGAGCAGTTAGTAAGTGAAAGACAGAGCATGATGGTTATCTGCTGAGCGTTCTTTTAATTTCACAGTGTGCAAATAGCTTTTGATGTGAAGATTTGGTGCTGAAGGAAGTAAGATAATGGGAGGATCTTTAAATTGCATTATGCCACTCATGCAGCTCTGCTAACATCTGCCACGAGCAAGGAGAGGATAGAGAGAGGAAGATAGCGACACGAAAGAGAGGCTGTGGTGATTACCACTTAATTCAATTGTTGCTTAATTAAATCAAAGCATCAGGAGGAAAAATCATCTGGATTAAAAACGAATATAGCTTCCATCCTTTATTTGATTTGTTGTAGGAAGGAATACATGGGGGTAATTGAATCACTGGCACAAGGAAGTTTCAGTAATTCTTTCAGAAATGAGGAGACCTCGGATGTGAATGAGATAGCAGCAGAAAGCCCAGGGCACACCCACCAGTGTGGGAGATGCCTGCACATAAGCACTGTGCTATTTTAGAGTTTGTTATTGACATTTAAACCACTCTGCTGTGCTGTTTGAGCTGTGATATGAACCCTCTGGCCATGTGGGGAGTCATTTCCACTCTTTATTTCGGAATAAGCGATGGGAAGAGCGTTGGCAGAAAGAAGAGGGTAGGCTTTGTTTCCTGTGCTCTGCTCCACTCCTGCTGATTTCTGGGCTATCATGAAATGTCAGCAGAATTTTCACAGATCCCATCACTGAAGTGCCTGTTGGTATCTGTGGAACACGGAGTTTCTCTTTGTAAGAGGTTAATGTACAGATATACTGATATATATATCTGATGGAGATAATGCCATGAGAAATAGTTTAATAATCTCACACTATTGCATTTCCATGTTCTGGCAAAGTTAGAAATGATGACACTGGTTTTGGTGAGAGATTTTGTTTACATCTATGGTTTTATTCCCAATTGGTTTTTCTTCTCTGTTTCTCATCACATCTAGAAACTTGAAATTGTAGTGAAAATAGTCTGCTGGTCATTGGGATTTAGTTTTCTCTTTCACTGCAGTGTTGCTTTTAGAACTTTGATTAACTTCACCTCCTGTGGGATAATTCCACTTTTGATAGTGGTCTTCCCATTTGATCTGCTCTTTCTCTTGCCCATTGTGACTGTGTTCTTTGGGGAAAAATATTTTATTGTTTTTTCTCCAGGGCCTACAGCAGCAGAATTTTGGACTCAAACAGGTCCTGTAGGGCTGTGCTAATCAACAGCCTGAATTTTGCAATCTGATCCCTGCAGTGTGCAAGAACTAAATCAATATGCTAATCTTTATGAGGATGTAGGCATAATTATATGAACTGTCTCTATTAAAATATGTTACTATGACAAATTTCAGCTAACAGTATAACCTTGCTTGGACCTCTTAACCACAGGATAATTGGGTTGCTGTCAATTTTTTCTTGCTGAGGAGAGCATTGAACAAAAGGTGTTCTTTTAGTTTTTCTTGGGGTTTTTTAATGAATAGAGAAGGCCGAATAAAAAAGTGACTCTTAAAAAGTGAGTCAGCAGCAGTGAACTGTCATGGCTTTCCTCAGCTGATGGAGCTGCACTGGTCTGGATTTCAGATCACAGGACACAGGGTATTTTTCTTAATTTTTGTTGCTGACTCTGACTTCAGAGAGCAGCAGCTCCTGACTTAGCTCCTTCCTGCGCACAGGCTTTCCCTGTGCCCTCCAATAAATCACTTTATTTGTATTTTATTTTTTATTTGTAAAATAATGGCAGTGGTGCTGTTTATTTTGTAGAAGTTTGGTGTGGATAAACAGATAAGGATGGTGGCCCTCTCACATGATGGGAATGGGGACTGTAGAACTAGCCATGAAATAAAGAAATGTGTAGGTACCAAAATAGGAAATCTTTATTCATGTAGCTTCCTTTGGCCATTACACTGATTATTTTCTCAGCTCATCTTGAAAGCTCTACATTTATGCTGAAGTCACAAACAGTTTCTAGTGTTGTGCTGGTTATGTCTGGGCACTTCTACATGATTGACAAGTATTAAAGATAAAAATGTTTCTGAGGTGATGACTGTGAGTGCCTAAATAATAGCTTTTTTTAAAATGTCAAATATGGAAATTTTGCTGTTAAAGCATAAATGTTAAGAAAATACATTCTTTAAAGAGGGATATATAGAAATCCTGGCTTTGACAATGTCCCAGGTAGCTTTGCCCCACACCTCAGTGAAACCCCAATTATCATCTGGTAGATCTAAGAGTGCCTGTGCCATACTTACAAAAGCATTTATTTTCATTGAGTTTTTTAATGTGCAGAGAACTCATTTTACCTATTAATTTGCCCCTTTCTTCCTTTTTTCCCCCTTTTGTTTCTATATTCTTTAGAACCACTTCCTGTGAGCAATGTTTCTATCTATGACTACAAGCCATCTCCAGAAACAGGAGTGTTGTTTGAAATTCAGTACCCAGAGAAGTACAATGTTTTTACCAGGGTCAATATAAGCTACTGGGAAGGAAAAGACTACAGAACAATGCTCTACAAAGGTAGGTGGGAACTATTTCACCAAAATTTAATGCTAACTCTGCTGGAAACATCCAAAACAGTGGCCTTAGATGGGGGTTTTGACATGTATTTATATTATATATATATATAATATATATATAATGATTATATATATATATACACACACATATATATGTGTGTGTGAATGTGTCTATATATATAATATCATATATATAATATTATATGTAATATATTAATTATATTATATATTAATATATATTTTTATATAATATATATCATGTATATCATATATAAATAATATATATATGATTATCTATAATATATGTAATATATAATATATTATATATAATTATTATATAAATATTTTTTGTATATATATAATCATTATATATATTATATATATATAATGATTTGTGCTTCTGGTAATGTGCTTTTAAATTGTGTAATAAGGGATGGGTCTTTGAATTCAGCTGGTGGTTCACTTGGGATTTTTAAATTCCAAGAATCCGAGTTCTAGTGATGCTTCCCTTTTTTTGGATTTTAGAGGAAAACTCTGGATTTTTGTATTCAGTCTGAAATTAGCCAGGGAAGGCATCCCCAGTCATTGGTGCTTTTGTGTCAGTTCAAAGCAATACAAAAGCTCCCAGGCTCTCCCCTCTGGCCAAGGATCCCTCTTTGGTCTGTGGATGATAGGAAAGCTCTGGGATGTCCCAGAGGAGGGAAACCCATTCAATAAACCTGATTGTTGGCACAGGATCAAGCCTGGTGGTTCTGTGTCACCCTGCAGTGACACAGTGCTGTGCTGTACAGTACATCAATGCAGTATTCAGTGTGTCCCTGAGCTAATAAACCCTGCTGCAAAATAGAAATTTCAATGCTCCTAAAAAAATCTAATCAAGGGCAATCAATCTAACAGTCTAGACAGTCAGCCTGAGCAAACATTCTTTAGAATGATCTAAACAAGAGCAAATTCTGCTTTCTTTATTTGTTCATAACTGAGCCCCTTCATATATTTCTTCACAAATTTTGCCCTGCAGTATAGCTTAAGCACAGTATCTGTCTCAGAGATATAAATGGGACTATAAATGTCCTGTGGGAAGCACCCTAAGAAGTGAGGAATCCACCCACGTACCTTGTGGACCCTGAAACCCCAATGGTTTAACATCACATAATGGCAGTCAAATCCAAAATCAAATCAAAATTAAATCCAAAATCAAAATCTTTGGGCAATCCAGTAAGTGCTGAATTGAATTTTAGGCACTGAATTGAATTTTAGGTACTGAATTAAGGATCCCTGTCTTCTGACTGGTCACTGGAAGCTCTCTTTAAGTCAGCAGAGGGAGATAGACACCTCCAGAGGGAAGTCAGAGTATTTGGGAGTCTCTTTGCTCCAATACAAAGTGGGGCTAGAAATCCTCTCCTCAGTGCTGTAAAGTGCCAGAAGTTAGGAAGGATAAAATCTGGATCACGGCAGAAAATACAGGTGACCTCTTTGCAGAGAACAAAAAGGACACCAGCAGTAATTTGTCTCTTCCACAGCTAATAGATGGTTCTGGGGGCTGTAACGCTAAAACTGCTGATAAATAAAAGAGTCAGCCTAAATTAGGAGATTCACTAATCAGCTTGCACACAGCCAGATAGCCCTGAGCAAGTTCTCTTCAGCCCTCGTGTGTGGTGGATGTGAGCTGAGCCCTCAGCACCACTCGATTGTTCCTTTGAGCATCTCCCACCAGCGCTGGGCCTCAGTCAGCAAAACACCAAAGAGGTTTTGCGTGCAGCAGTTAAAGGTCTGCAGGAGCTGTCAGATGCTCTTTGAGATATTCCCTGTCACATGGAGCAGGTTGCCAGATTCACTTCCCTTGCCAGTGAAAAGCAGCTCATGTGTTTCTTGTGCTGGGCCTTTTTTTTTTTTGTTTTTTGGTCTTTCTTTTTTCTGGTAGCAAAGTGGCTTTGACAGCCAGGAAAAGTGTTGGCAAACTGAATTATTACAATTTCATGTCTCAGAGCAGGCTGAAAAATGTTTAAACATCTAAAGCATTGCCCATTCACCATGTGCAGTCACATCATCAGAAAGTGAACATTTGATGCATTATCCCCTCTTTTTTTCCTTTCCTTCACTTGCAGATTTCTTCAAAGGTAAAACAGTTTTCAATCACTGGCTGCCAGGCATATGCTACAGCAACATCACATTTCAGTTGGTATCAGAAGCCACCTTCAACAAGAGCACGCTGGTGGAGTACAGTGGGGTCCAGCACGAGCCCAAGCAGCACAGAACAGGTGATGAAAATTCTTATACATAATTTCTTCCAAATCTGTATTGCCGCTTTTCTTGCTGCTGTATGGAGGGGACTGACTCAGAAGCCTCAGAAAAGAAAGGTAAACAATAATTTTCTGATTGTCTGGAATGTGGTTTGGAGGTTGCTTGCAAACAGGTGCATCTTTGATTGGTTCCATGTGGATTGTTTCTACTTGATGGTCAATCACAGGTCTAGCTGTGTCAGGACTCTGGTCAGTCACAAGATTTTATTATTCATTCTTTTCTAGCTTTCTGATGTCTCCCTACTTTCTCTTTCTTTAATATAGTTTTAATATATAATTTTCTTTTAATATTATATAATAAAATAATAAATCAGCATTCTGAAACGTGGAGTCAAGATTCTCATCTCTCCCCTCGTCCTGGGGACCCTCAAACACCACCGCATGCAAAGAATGAATTTTTATGCCACAGGAATATCTGCACTGAGCAGACTATTGATCTGTCTCTGTTGATCTGTGTCCTTGTGCAGTGAATCACAGCTGAACTGCTCGAGAAGCCCTTCCTCACTGTGCACTTTTCCATCACAGAGAAGAATGTCATAGCTGCCCGACTTGGCGGCCACTCTGTGCCTTGAAGCATGAACTTTTAATTTCCAAGACAGCAATGTTGCAGAGGCTGAAAATTGCATTTGTTCAGGGTCCAGAACTAATTTAATTTGGTCCTGGGATGGTGCCCAAAACTTTTTTGTTAATCTTTTGGACCGCAGACATTTATCAGGGTCCAAAGTGAAATGTACCAGCGATAAAATCAAAAGGCCAAATCTTCAGATGAATACACTGGTGCTGGTCCATTGCCTTGGACAGAACTAAGCCAACTGATGCCAGCTGAGTTCTGTCCTGAAGATCCTAAATACAGTTGTTCAGATATTGAACCACAACCAACAGGTTCCCTTTTATTTTTTCCTGCTGCCCTCCCATGCTTCATTTTTCACATGAGCTGCAATGAGAATGCAGAGTCTGGTTTTCTATTAGTTGCTGTGACTGGGATGGGAGTTGAACAAATTAGTGTGCTGTAAAGTGCCAGCTTAAAGGGTGCCAGGCACAATTATTTGCAGAGGTTACTCATACTTAAGGGTGTGTAAGGAGAGGCAGACAAGCAATTACAGTGAGACAGACAAAATGCTGTGTGTTCACCTCCTGCCATCAGCTGAAGTAACTTCTTTGCGTGCCAGACTCTTGTCTTGTGGAGACCCAAATCTTAAGATCAAGCTTTCACAAATATTAAATTTTAAACTGATGTTTAATGCTTGTGAAAAGGTGGCTGCTAAAAGCATATGAAAAGCCCTACAGCAAGGTTGTTTTTTTAAAATATGAGCTATGGCATATATTCATTTTGCATATGTTTCAATTCTTGTCTACAGAGGTGGGCTTTTTTTTCCATGACCAAGAACTTCCTGGAAGACACAACAAAGATTCACAGTTAAAAATTCACACTGTAGTAGCCTTGCTGTTACAATAGCACTGAAATTTGATTTACCGTGACTTCGCACCTACTTTACATCCTGGCATTCTTTATGGTGATTATGCTGTGAATTTATCTGTGAATTTATTCGTCTTGATCCCTCTACAGTCACTTCTGGTATATGTATGGGAATAGGCAAGAGAAGGGAGGATCTTAGTGAGAAGTTGTTATTTCAAGCAATCTCTAGAAGAATGGTATTTGTTTGGGGAATAAATGCATTTAAAGGTGCAAGCAATCCCTAGAAGAATGGTATTTATCTGGGGAATTAATACATTAAAAGGTGCACAGAACACACCCATTAAAAGCCTGCCCCTTGCTTCTCTTCTAGTTCCTTACCCACCCCGAAACATTTCTGTCCAGATCATCCCAATCAACAGGAACAACTGGGAAGAGCACAGCGGGAATTTCGCCGAGGAATCCTTCATCGGCCCGCAGGAAATCATGAGGAAAGAGAAATCCAGCCATCCCTCTGAGAGCCCAACTGCACCCCCAGCAGCCAACTCCTCTGCAGGCTGGCTGGATGAGCCGTCCAACAGCACCGAGGATGGAGCCAGCTCGCAGCCGTCCTGGTGGTCCAGCGAGGCCGAGTCCTCCGAGGGCGAGGAGGAGTTTGTCCGGGCAGCTTCCAGGGATTTTGAAGCCCCTGATGCCAGCACGGGGTCTGGCAGGCCCACAGCAGAGCCCCCTCCCTTCCTGCCTGTGCAGATGGTGCTGACCTGGCTGCCCCCAAAGCCCCCTACTGCCTTTGATGGATTCCACATCAATATTGAGAGGGAAGGTAAAGCGGAGCCTCGTGCCTTTCTCGTCCTCCTTTTCTGTAATTCCACTGGTGGTTGTGTCCTCTATGAATTATTAATTATCTGGTACTGTGCTTCAGAGTATTGCTGGATGGGGTCTGTGTACAAATCACAAACAGCTGGGAACATGTTTTGAGCTGTTTTATTTTCCAGCATCAGTCTCATTACATGATTATGACAATGGGAAGGTGCCAGCAGCTCACATCCCAGGCAGCAGACCAATGTTACAACTTACTCTGAAAGTTTTTTGACCAATCACACAAAGCAAAAGCACATTGACCGTAGTTCTATCCAACTACTATAAGCACACATACTTTTGGTTAAAACAATGCTTCCTTATTTTGAATACAATACCTGCTTGTATTTAAAACACAATGCACAGAGCTTCATTATTATTAAGCTTAGAACTTCCTAATATCTCACTAGATAAACTTTTCTGCAGCTATTATCCTTACTTTTCTACATTTTTACATATTTTTTCTGCTGACCTATCTCATGACTACTGCTCAGCTCTAATCACAGCTCTGCTGTCTTTAAAGCCTGCCTTTTGCAACTTTCCCAAAACCTTCTGATTTTATAAATTCCCACACAGAGGGCTTTGTTAGATCCCAGGGATTTCTTGAGGAGTTTTTACATTGTGCAGCATCTACTTCTGGCTGGGCAAGTGTAAACCACAATTTTCAGTTCTCTTTTGTTAAACAAGATTTATACTGCTGTACATATTGCCACACTGTTTGAATAAAGTCCTTTTGGATACCTTTCAATCCCGCATCTGAAACAGGATTAGCATTTCTAATGTAAATAGTTCTCTTTGTGGCTAGAACCTTTCAAATTTCAATTAATCCACATTTTTTCCCCCTCCTGATTTAGAGAACTCCACAGAACTTTTGACAGTGAGCGAGGACACTCACAAATTTGTTGCTGAACTGAAGGAACCAGGAAAATACAAGTTGTCTGTAACAACATTCAGCTCCTCTGGCTCTTGTGAAGTTCGGGGAAGTCAATCAGCAAAAACACTCAGCTTTTACATCAGTAAGTATCTCACCAAACTCAGCTTTTTCTCCCTGAGCAACACAGGTTTAATGTGCAGTTTGACCACTGGGATATTTCTGGCACCTGCTGATGTATCACAAGGGTCTGGTCTTCTGGAATTCCCTGTGCCAGAGAAGGAAATGCAGTGCAAATATGTTAATATATTGCATTGGTTGTGCCGTCTTGGCAGTTTTAGGAAAGCAAGTGATGCGATGGAGTCAGTGTTCAGAAGTGAAATTGAGTTTCCCTTTTGCATCTCTCACAGTGAGAATTTAACTCCAAGAATTAATTTGGTGGTTGTAGAGAGCTTTGGAAATATTTAACTTTCCTATTCCTGGAGTACGTACTGTGTTAGGGATGAAGGGCATCCCAGGCTGAGAGTGTGGGAATTGCACAATTAAACACTGAACTCTGAAATTGAATGGTCTCTGAGAGAACACAGAGCAAATTACAGCAGATGAAGTGGTTCAGCCTGCTAAATTCAAAGGAGAAAAAGTAATTTATTATTTCCCTGTAGAATCCCAGGCTTTCTTAACTCGAGATTTAGTAAAAGGCAAAGTAATAATACACTACCGTGTAAACTAATACCATGACTGACAATTGGATCAGCAAGTGAGACAGGTGTTGGTGAATTCAGATCATTATCCTTCTAATGGCTGTGGTCACCTTTGCACCTTTTTCTGCAAAAGGAAATAGATATACCCTACAGAATGCCCATGGAATGAGACAGGGGAATTCTTGCAGCACTGCGCAATTTTGCATGTGAAAAGATAATGCTTTCCCAAATCATGAGTGCTACAACAAGACACAGTAGCCAAAGCTGGCAGAAAAAAATCCTATTAAAAGGAAATGTAGTCAAGCACTTCAGTATATTATGAATAAAAATTGTGCCTTTTGTAGCTCATAACCTTTACAAATAATAGGTATTTAAACTTGAATTCATCATAATGCTAGACTGCATGTAGCAATTCCACTATTGCTCCCATTTTTAACAACTTTATAGTGGAAAGAAACAATAATTGGAAAACATCCAGAAAACAGCATGTGAGAGAGAAGGTCTATGCTCTTTTATTTTCACAGTCTTCTGTTTTTTCTAGGAATAGTTGGACAACTTTATTATATGAAAAGCATTAAAGTAAATAAAGATATATGTAGCATTGCTATTAGTACCAATTGTTGTTCCATTTTGCAAGGTGTGACACATTTTATTTTCATTAAGCAGTGTTTAATGCTTAAAGTGTCCACCATGCTAACTGTGAACCTGAGAGAAATGAGGACATGTTAACCCAAAGTTTAGGGGTGTGGATGGCCAGATTAAGGATGAATTTTATTATGGGTAAAGTATTAAGGTGTTAGAGGAAGGCAATGGCATTTTAATTTTAGGTGTAACACATAAGCAACTTTGGGTTTTGTCAGTTAGTTTTTCAGGCTTTTACAACAAAATGAGGGTTCTTGGCAGTCATCTTAGTTATTCTGTCAAATGCAAGGTCCTTAGTATTTTAGATAGTTTCTGTATGTATTCCTGGTAGAATGCCAAATTGGAGATATGAACAAATGCTCTTAGGTTGAAATTGCTTTTCTGTCCCCCTTCCTGAGTTGATCAAGTAGGCTTTTGTGTGGGGACTCAGCTCTGGGTTATGACATGAGGCATCTCTGCTGCCTTAATGCCAGTGCTGAAACAGTTTCTGAATAGTGAGAGCTACATGTACATCCTCTATCTCCAGAGAATAATTTAATGATCAAATTCCTCTTTTTTACCTGCGTGGGTGTGGGTCTGTGGCTGTGAATAAATTTTGCCCACAGTATCAATCATATATTTTCCTCGTAATGCTTGGTTGGTGAATCATCCTGTCAAATTACCGGCTTTAGGTTACATATTTTTGTTACATCCAGATAGCGGTCAAATCTGATAGCCTGGCCTTAAACCACATTCTTGCTCTGGCATTTGTTTTATTTTATCAATAAATGTAAATTAGCATTAGAGTGGCATGGAGGAAGGAATGTCAAGGAGGGAGAGGTCACAAGTATTGTTTAAAAGTGACAAGAAAAATGAGCTATTTTAATGAAATACAAAATTTTGACCAAGTCTAGCTGAAGTTATTTTCCAAACTGTTCTTTTATCTATACTTAAAGCTGTTTCTCAACCAAGTGCTCCAAAAAGAATGAGATTCTTCACTGTGGTGACCTCTATGAACTTGATTTTATGCTTTGAGGCTATGGTGTGCTTGGAGGGTGTGTCAGTGTGTGGAGAGGTGAAAAAAATCTGTGTGCTTATCCTTTAATATTGGTCAATGATCTGTGCATTATTGGCTGCCCGTGCTTTTCAGCATTCCCTTGGAGCAAATCTGATCCTGCTGGGTGGTTTCTGGTGAGCAGCAGAGAATAATGCCCTCTGAATTGTCAGACAGGCACGTTCCTCTTGTCACAGGCTCTGCTGCAGGTGCTGTGGGGATGGACATCTGCCAGTCCAGCCTCCCTCACATGAAAAGGAAGAAATAATAAATAAATAAATAAATAAATAAATAATATTTTGAAAATTTTTATTATATATATTAATATATTATAATATGTTATTAATAATAAATAATTAAATAATTATAAAAGGGAATAAAGGGAGCAAATAAGTATTAAAGGGGAAAAAGGGGAATAAATAATGTGCCTCAAATGGATGGAGTGGCTTGCTCACCTGTGCCTTTGGGCCATGTCCCAGGCCCCACAGGGGAGTGGATAGAGGAGCTCACTGAGAAACCCCAGCATGTGACAGTGACAGTGCTGAGCTCCACTACTGCCCTGACCTCCTGGACAGCATCACACGAGAGCAGTGGCAACAGCACCATCGTGTCTGTGCTCTCCCTCACCTGCCAGAAGCAAAAGGAGAGCCAAAGGCTGGAAAAACACTACTGCACTGAGGTAAGGAGCAGAAGCTGGAGCGTTTTCCAATCCAGTAAAAATAATCACGCTGCTGTTTAGAACCCCTGTGCCCCAGGGCTCTCTGAGGCTGCAGGGGACAGTGACAGCTGCTCCCTCCTGCAGCCCAGAGGGAGGGATGTGCTGGTGCTGAGTGCAGGGGAGAGCCCAGCAGTGAGAATGTGCAGTTCACCATAGCTTTGTTAAAGTGCTGTTCCTGCTGGACTTGCTGTGGCTTCACTCAGGCATGTGCTGCAGTGCATCTGTAATAAGCAAAGTGCTCACATGCGTGGTTATCATCAAAGCAGCATAAATTATTTCTTAGCTGTCCCACATTTGAGAACAGAGCATGACTGTAAATCTTCTGGAGGTTTTGAGATGATCAGAAGCCAGCTTGTCTTTTCATCCATAGGAAAAGGTGTCAGCACTGAGAAACAAACAGCAATTCAGACTTGTATGGACGAGTCCTTTATGGGATGTGTTTGGACAAGTCCTTTATGGGATGTGTTTATAACCATCACGAATCCTGAACCCCAAAACCTGACAATTTTCTGCTGCTTGAAGCCCTTAGTGAGTGCAGGCTCTGTGCCTGTGGTAGGTCAGTGGCAAGTGGCTTCAGTTAGAGAGATTTTAGCCCATATCTCAGTGACCTCACCAGGATGCTGATGCAGCCTTTTTTCTGAGCAGGGCCATGGCTTCTGTCTGGCTCCCTGAAATGTGTGTGATGGAGGAGGCTGCAAAGCACTGCAGAGCTGCCCTGCTGCACCCTCAGCCCACCCATGGGAATGGAGGGGACTGCTGGCATCCTTGCAAATCACCTCCTTCAGCTTCATGATCAGTCCTCCAGTGAATTAATAATAATTTTTGACCCTTAAAATGCCTTTTAAAATTAATCTCTGAAGAAGTTTTGAGTTTCAGTTCAAGAATGGCTTTGAACTTAAATGTTTGGAAGTGTCTTGTTGTGACAATTTGAGAATTGTTTTTCAGAACCAGCTTGTTATCTCATTGTTACTTGTATTTCTTAGAAGTGCAGTCATTTAAATGGGAAGCAAAGTACAGTAGGTGATTATAAACACAGATCCCAAACATTTGCATTTATAATTTCCACAGATACTACAGGATTCATCTACAAACTCAAAACCAAGTATCTATAGTTAATCAGTGAATAAACAAGATATCTCTAAAAGTAAATGTGAATTTACTGCAAGTAGGTAGAGAAGTCTAAATGCAGTTATTTCTTTTTGTCATTATATATATATTTGTATCCAATTTTATCAATTTACTATACCTTGAATTGTTAATAACTGTTAGATTGTCATCTCCATAATTACCTGAAAAGAGCAAAATTCAGTGCAGAGTTCTATCCATTTCTAACATGGTGCATGATTTAAAAGTGATTTAGCTTTCCAGGGCAGCTGGTAAAGACAAATTCTGTTCCTCACTAAATCTGTGCTTGGCAGTGATACACTCATGTGCATTGCAAAAAGCCACCAGTGCAGAGGTGGCTGTGATACAGACTTTGGGGAGGTTGTGAAGAAAATATTAGTGGGAAATACCAGCCTGCAGCTCTAGAAAGGATGTGTGAAGGCTTTTCCTCAAAGCTGCTCTGTGCATTTGCTGTTTGTGCAGTCTTCAGGAGATGACCCTCTTCCTGCTGTATCAGAGCAGGAATCACTTGGTCAGGAATTCTGCCTCCAGCTCTGACTGAAACCTGGTGTGGCACAGCAGGAGTTTTAACGGTGATGTTCTCAAGCTGAAAAGAAAAATCACAATGCCCCTTAGTTACAGTTTGTGGTGCTGTGGAGGGGAGGTGACAGAATATTTCCTCTCTGATTCCACTGTGGAGTCACTCAGTAGCTGCAGTCAGAGGACAGATTCCCCAAAATGCTGCCTTCAGCTCACAGAGCTGCATCAATGACTGATGGAAAGACTCTAATTGAAAACATGTGGTCTAAATACTCCAGCCTGAATAACACCACCTGAAAATGAATGGTGTAGCCTGAATATTGTAATAGACTTTGACAGTAGAAGAGAGTGGGCCTGCAGTGAGGTAGCTGACCTTATGCAGCCAGGCCAGTGCAATTCTCTGAGTCAGATCATTTGTGGGGCCAGTCCTGACCACTGCCACAGTTTTGCCACGTGGGGCTTAATGAATGAAGTTCTTGCTGCCAACGTGTTTGGATTCATGCCTTTTGTAACTGGAGCCATTCAAGTACAGTCTCAATACTCTTTTATTAATCAAGTAAATGCTTCATATCTGATGAATTCCTCTTCTCCCAGGTGAATTCAAGCAGCAGCCTCATTGAAAATCTTGTTCCTGGTGCCCAGTACCAAGTTGTGGTTTACCTGCGGAAAGGACCTTTGGTTGGACCACCCTCTGATCCTGTCACATTTTCCATTGGTAATCCCTGAACCTACTGATTGAAATGCATTTATTTCTTTTTAGGGTTTGGTTTTCTTTTTTTTTAAATATATTCAGTATGTTCATTAAGTCCTGTAGACCACACCTTGATTTTCTCAAGTTTAAGACTGAATCTCAATGTTCTCTGCTTTGGGATTTGAAAATGAGAAAAGCCCTCTGAGGCTGACACTGACATTTTCAAGAATGTTTTATGTCCAACAGGCAGAGCTCCTGCCCCCATACCTGTAATTTAGGATTCCACCAGGCTCCTACAAAAGGTCATTTAGGACAGAATTTAGTAACTTAGTTTCAGTGTAATTTATTTTGTTAAGATTACCATTTAAATAAAATGTATTAAGGAGAGAGATGGAAAAGAGAAAGAGATCCAGTGTACAGAGTTACATTTGCAGAGAAATATTCAACCTGTGTCACCCAGCTTCTCCTTTTGACAAAAAGTGCTCAGTGGGATAGCAGGTGGCTGAAACTTAGAGATCTTCAGTATTTTTAATGCTGCTTTCTCTCTGTGATGTAGGGAAGAAAGTGAAACAGAAAAAAATGTTATCCTGTTAAGAATTTAATCCTTAAATAAAAGCCAACATGTAGCTTAGTGACTATGGTGAGAGCCTTTTCATTCTAGTCAATCTTCTTACATATTTTCATAGATTTGGTCCAAATAAAAATTTGTAAAGTATGCTATATTTCAGAAAAGGAAAAAATAGTATGTAAATATTTATATATACTTTAATGTTAAAATTTCTATCACAAACGCTTTTGATCTTTTCTCACTGTAATTCAAAAATCTGAAAAATTCTACTTTTATTTGTGAAAGTAAAATCATGTATACCCAAAGTAAATTCGTTCCTTCATTTTCTCCCCTTTTTTGTGGCCTTGCAACCATGAAAGTTTCTTACAAAACTGAAAATGGCAATCAGTTTCTAAATAGAACATCTCATAACTTTCATATTATAAAGAGGCTGTTTTTATGCAGTAAAACAACATCTGTATGAGGTTTCATTTCATAACAGTTTATTGAATATGATACTAAAATAATAGAACTGAAAAACAAATTGTCCTGTGAACTTAGCAGTGGAGCTAACGACAACTGAAACTCAAATAAAATAAAATGCACTTTAAAAAGGATTCCATTCTCCCCTCGTTATCGTAAGGCTCATTTTCACAGGGTGAGTACCAGCAGTTCAGAGAAAGCAAAGCAAAGATGTGGTAAATGGTTTATAAAGGTAAAGGCAGCCATGTGCCAATGTGGGCTGGAGTAACCTGGGTGCTGGTCTGGGTTCTGACCCTGTGTGCAGTAGCTGGGGCTCGGAAGCCCTGTCAAATGTTAACTCTAAGTCCTTATTTAAGTAGCCTCAGTGAAATCATGGAGAATAATTGTTTTCCAGACCATCCGGGCTGCAGAAGTTGACCCTTAACGTGACATTCTTCAAATCACTTGACTCTTTCTCGGTGTCATCGTCTGTGAGGCAAGAATAGCAGCACATGACAAAACCTTTGGGTTCCCCAGGGAAGGAGGGCTGGAGATGAAAACTTTCCTTTCTTACAGTGCTCTGGCTTTTGATGCTTTTGGTTTTGAGCATCTTGAAATATCTCCTGAGTATCCTGATTTTCAAAGCAGAATAGAGCCCTCCCTTTTTGAGAAAGCGGGATGTGTGCTTTATCTCAAGCTAAGCAGCCAACACAAAGTGGTCTGTAGCCACTTCTGAAAAAGTAGTTTTAAACTCGAGAACAAATGTTTAAAAAATGGCTTAAATAGCTGCTTGTGACCAGGAAGTTCTTGGGGATTAAAGTAATGAGAAAATCAGAAATAGGTAGAACTTGATTAAGGAAAGGTATAATTTTAAAATAAATTGCAGCTGATAACACATGCATGTTACTAACCATAATTTCTGCTTTACAGTGCCCACAGGAATAAAGGATCTGACACTTTACCCTTTGGGACCAACAGCTGTGGTTCTGAGCTGGAACAGACCTTTCCTGGGTGTGTTCAGGAAATACGTGGTAGAAATGTTTTACTTCAACCCCTCGACCATGACCTCAGAGTGGACAACCTACTATGAAATAGCAGCAACTGTCTCCTTGACTGCCTCAGTGGTACAGTGACCATTCCTGCCTTGCTTTCCCATGCCTGTGTGGCCCTGAAACCTTGTGACTTTTTTTTTTTCCCAGCCTTTTTTCCATTAATATGTATATATATGCCTTTAAGCCTGGCACTCAGCAAAGCAAAGGAAAGGGCCAAGGGTGCTGGAGGCATTTTCTGTTCTAAAGTAAGGCACTGCCAGCTGAACCATGCTAAATTTCCTGCAGAGCAATGAGACAGGAGTTTAGCCTGGTTTTTTGGTTGTTGTTCAGCAAGTCCAGAGGCAGCTTCAGTTTGTGGGTCAGTTTGTCAGTGAAGGCTTTAAAAGTTCCATCATCTCCTCAGGGGGTGCAGTGCAAAGGCTTATCTACTTAATTAATATTGATAGTATGGATTGGGGGCTTGCAGGCTGGTCTCTCAGTGTGCCATGTGGAAGGCTTAGCTCTGGTTTTTGTGGAAAAATGCCTTCATGTTTCTGAAGTTGCCAAATCTTAGGCCAGGGTTTTAACTAGGTGAACACTGATGTCTACAAGAACACACTCACACATATATTCATAGGTGCCCTTGCAGATATAAAGTGAAATTCTCCTCCTCTTTTCCATTTTTTCCTGGAGAAGGTGAGAAGATTTTATTCAGATTTTACTATAGAGCAAGACAGAAAGCAATTCCAGCTGAAATTAGTTGTTCAAGAAAGTTATGAGTATGCAAAAAAGATAGCAATAACTTCTGCTGCTGGTGAGAGCCACAGTGATTTACTGTAATTGATTTGCATAATACCATTTGTGGAGTCATTTTGGCTCCAGCAGCTTTACTGTAATTGGGTATGTGACTATAAATCTAACACGTAAATCTCCAGGGAAATTAAAAACAAAAATAACTTACCAAACTGGTAATTAATATCTTGTAATCATGACTCAGCACAAATAGATTAATAGCTGAGTGATCTAAGTGATCCAAGAAATAAAGCTATCATGCAGAGTTAATGTGGTTCATTAGGAAAGGAGATGATGTTGTCCCTTACTGTTGCAAATCCTGCTCATGGAAGCCAAGTTGGAATTGCTTTGTCTGCATTTCAGTCTGAAATGCAACAGTGCTGTATCACAGCTGAAGTGAGCATTTCTTCAAGGATGATTTTAAAGATTAATCCTGAATTAGGAAAAGAATGTTTCCCTGTTATTCTGTTGTGGCATTTAATGTACAGGTAGGGACTGTTGAACTTTTGTTTGGATTCTCCAGAGGTGTTCCAGAATCCCACTGATCCCTGCCGACACCTCTGAGTGCTGTATTCTGAAGCAACAATGAGAAGATTCAAAAATCAATGTCTCCAGCAGCATGAAATAATCAAGCATTATTTCCTGGGGGTTAACATTTGATAAGAACCTTTGGAACTGGATTTGTCTTTTCACTCTGTTTGGTTGCTTCATTCATTTTGTGCTCTGCACATGAAAATTGCCAGAGTGATGTTGGTATTTCCAATATGACACCAGGGGCATGTCAGAAGTCCAATCATCTTCAAGGATGGATGCAACTTCTTCTAAAAATCATTAAAAGAACAGATCACACCACTTATATTTGCATTGCCTTGTAGTATCTGGAGAAAAAAGGCCACTGAAAACAACAGAGATCTGTAAAAATAGCAATTTCTACATTGTTGAAGTTGTTAGTTATTTTCAATTTTCTTTAATTTTGAATTTTAAAAATATCGAGAAGCTTTTCATCGAAACACCAATGTCTTAAATGTTCTGTGCTGTCAGTGGAAGAATTAGAGTTTTAACTTAAATATTACATGCATTACTATAATATAAAACATATTGCTTTTTATAGCTCATTTATATCTCATTTATATTTACATATATAATTTATGTCTCATAAGTTATTTATGTTTCATTCCTATTCCATTTATAATAAATGACAATAGGAAGTGAAATACACTTGGAAAATTGAAAAAAAATACATCTCTTAAAGTGACAATATCTGAGACAAAAACATCAATACTAATTTATCATCAAAGCCCATTTAATCAAACTAGAAACACCTACATTTTCCAGTTAAATATTTTGCCTTCATCACACTGGAATTGTGATGGAAGATTTCTCTGTGTGAATGGTTCTTGCCACCCTGGAAATCCTTTAAGATTCCTGTGGTGGACAGAACCTGTGACCAGGTGGATGTGGATGAGCAGCAGAGCCATCAGAGCTGTGTTTGCTCTCCCTGCACAGAATTTTTAGTAAATTGAAAGGCCAAATTTCAGAGATTTCCTGTGGTATTTTTAGAGTCCCCTGTCATGGGGAGGAAAGATGAATCTGACTCCATGTTCTTAGAAGGCTAATTTATTATTATATTATATTATATTATATTATATTATATTATATTATATTATATTATATTATATTATATTATATTATAGAATGGTATATGAAACTATACTAAAAAAATAGAGAAAGGATATTTACAGAAGGCTAAACAAGATACTAATGGAAAACTTGTGACTCTTTCCAGAGCCTCAACACAACTGGCTGTGATTGGCCATTAAGTTAAAACAATTCACATGTTGGATAAACAATCTCCAGCCACATTCCAAAACAGCAAAACAGAGGAGAAGCAAATGAGATAATATTGTTTTCATATCTCTCTGAGGCTTCTCAGCTTCCCAGGAGAAGAATCTTGGGCAAAGGGGAATTTTCAGAAAATATGACAGTGACAATTTTCACTGAAGGAAGGAATGGGAGCTCAGAAAAACGATTGTGGGCACTAGGTTTATAAATACTGTTGTGTTTCAGAAGTCTGCCTCCCACTGGTGAGTGATCTCCTGAGTTTCTCTTTGTGTTTTGTCCCTTTACAGAGAATAGCCAACCTGCTGCCAGCTTGGTACTATAATTTCCGTGTCACCATGGTCACCTGGGGGGACCCAGAGCTGAGCTGCTGTGACAGCTCCACCATCAGCTTCATCACAGGTAACCAGGCAGCTGAAAACTCTGGGGGAGTGCCCCTGGGGGCAGGGGAACTGACCTGGGTGCTGTGTTTCTACCTACAGATAGTTGCAAGTTAGGATATTTTTCATTTAAGTTTTTTGGATT